GGCTGCAGCTCTGGCTGCCTCTGGTAAGTGCTCTGCAGCCCTGGCATGGCTGGAGGAGGGGCAGCGGCTAAGTGGTTTCTGAAAAAGGGCAAAAATGATGGGAAAAGCTTTGGGATCCTCTGGGAATCAGAGCCGCAGCAAAGGCAGCTGCTTGCATCGCTGGAAGCGTTTTTTCCTTGAGTGCTGAAGGGCGCCTACAGCCCACTCCTGCCAGTGCAGGGCAGCTGCTGCCAGGGCCGGGCCCGGGACCCCCCCGGAGGCAGGGAGGCTGCTCTTCTCCCACACGAGCCCAGCTCTCCCTTCGAGTAGCAACCGCCTTCGAGCTCACGAGCAGCCATGGGCCTGGGGTGTGCCTGCGTCTAGTTGGTGAGTCCCTTTCTTTGTCTGATGGCCAACAGAGACATTAGCTTTTAGGATGGCATAGTGAGTGGCCAGAAGCTGGGCCCTGCCACTTTCCAGCTGTGCCACTGTGGGCAGTTCCCCTCACCTCTCTGTGCCCCAGTTACCTCGTCTGAAAATGGGGGGGGGTGGTAACAGTGGCTGCCTCAAAGGTGTTCGTGAGGCTGAAGTGAACTTGGGGTGCCCTCAGCCTGGTTCCTCGGAAGCACCTGGGAGGTGAGAGTGGAGGTTGTTGTTACCGGGGTTTGTTCTTTTTGCTCCTGCACCGGCCGTCCTCGGGGGAGGAGGCTGCAGCTGCTGCTGAGGTTGCTGGTGTGTGGCCGGAGGTTTTCGGCCTGTCGCCCTCTCTGTGGGGTGGACGAACGCAGGGCTGGGAAGCAGGCGCGCTGGGTGCTTGTGCTGCTGTCCTGTCTCTGTGTTCTTCACGCCTGGGTTGGGAAGCCCGCAGCCTACTGCCTCTCTTTGAGAGAAGGGACTATTGAGAATAATGCGGCTGGGTCCTGGGCCAGCGTTCTCCCAGCTTCCAGAGAGTCCCCAGTGGTGAGCAGAGGTGCTCCCAAGAACTTGGATGGATGGATGGATGCTTTGGGCAGAGAGGGGAGCAGGGAAGCCACACCCCAGGTTGTCTCACCTGCATTGGGGAGAGAAGGGATCCTTCCTCCAGATGGTGGGCAGTGTCCTTTCTGGCTTTGGAGTTGAGACAGACTCAGAGATCAAACCAGGTCTCTGGGGGCAGAATCGATGGTTTTAGAATTGTCCTTTAGTCCAGATGGATGAGTTTGTGAATCTTGTGTAAACCAGAATCACCATCTCCATCACACAGTCAACACTCGTTGGCCTAAATCATGGTAGAAGTTCCGCCGATCACTGTAGAATGTTTTGCGGTGACAGGTGCGTCACCACGGGCTCAGGTGCAGAGTAGTACACTCCAGGCCTGGCAATGGAGGACTGTCCTGACCCTATTCCCCGGCCCAGCCCAGGGCACATGGCCCCTCGGTTCCTGGCCCACCCCGTTCCCTGGAAGAAGCTTGGTTTGCAGTAGGGAATCAGGTGCAAAGTGTGCAGTATAGACTCAGCGTTCGTCGACTGACTGAATGATCACAATCCGGGCTGCCTCCTGTTGGCTGGATTTGACTGGACTGAGACTGGTCAGAGGAAGAGGCAACGCCATTAACAAAGAACGTTGCTGAAAGGTTCACGGGAGGCTCTGGCTAACAGGTGCTCTCTTACTAGGCTGCCTAACAAGCAGCCCCCTATTCTTTTTTTTTTATTATACTTTAAGTTCTAGAGTACATGTGCACAGCGTGCAGGCCTGTTACCTATGTATACATGTGCCACGTTGGTGTGCTGCACCCATTAACTTGTCATTTACATTAGGTATATCTCCTAAAGGCAGCCCCTTTTCTTATTCTTAGCTTATTCTTGGAGACCACAGACATCCCTGGGACAGCCAGGCGTAGGTATGGCCTGGGTCTTATTCACACTGCATTTTGGGGTTCCTGAGCTGCCTGATTGAGTGGGAGGGTGTTTCAGGTTCAGGTCTAGCCCCTGCATTTTCTTATGCCTCGCCCAGAGGGTGAGAGGCCCTATTCTGATTGGCCCCCAGGCCCTGCGGTGGAGTCTGGGTCTGAGTTGAACAGCTGAGAAACAGCCCCAGACCTCCAGCGTGGTGGTGGAGTCCTGGAGATGCTCTGGAGCCAGCCTGCGTGGGGTCAAGTCCAGGTTCTGCCTCTGACTGTGTGACTTCGGGGGCGTGCTGTAACTGCTCTGTGCCTCAGTCTCCTCATCGGTGAACTATTTCCCTCTTAGGGATGTTGTGGGAATTAAGTGGGTGAAGAAAGGCAAGTCCTGAGAACCGTGTTTGCTCTGTGCATGTGCTTAGACGCGTCAATGATTCTGATTCTCATTCGCTTCTGGTGCCTTTTAAGCACTGCCAGGCTCCCTGTCCTGTGAACCGTCCTTGATGGGGTGTTATCTTCAGAAAGCACAGACTAGCACTGGCCCCCAGCTTCCAAAGCTACACGTGGCTTCCCACCGTCCATGCAACCATGTCGGCTCTCAGTTCCTTGGAGTTAAGGCTGACGGCCATCTGGTTCTGACCCGGCCACCTGTCTTCCCATCCACTGACTTCCTCTTCTTCAGCAGCTTCCCTGTCTGCCTCCCAGTCCCAGCCCACCTCTGTCCCCTTTCCAGGCCCAGCTCATCCATCACCAACTCCATGGAGCCCCCTTCAGCACCCTGCCCCCTCCTGCAGTCCCTCAGCCCAGCCAGTACCTGGTTTCTGTGTCAGCGGGGGGGCTGACTCCTCTCTGCGCCCCCAGCGCAGGGCTGGACTCTGAGGAGGAGGATTCAGTAGATGGGTATTGAGTGATCAGATGAGGGAATCAGCTTTCTGTGGCTGGGAACACTCCTGCTGCAGGGGATCTGTCTGATGGGTGAGTCAGAGATGGGCTCAGGTCTGTTGAAAGTGGATCAACAGGCAGGCAGGGAGATGGCCAGCAGCCAGCCGTCTGTCCTGTTCACAGCCTCTGGGGCGGTGAGGCTTCCTCCACGTTTTTGTGGATCTGGGCTTCAGAACATAGTCGGTTTACGGCCACAACCCAGCCATGTGCTCTGGAGTTTCACTGCCTGAATTTTCACTTGAGGGACTTGGGAGTCTCCCTGAGCTATTCTGGCTTGGGAGATTGCCTGATTCTATATTTTAAAAAAAGAAAATGCAGGACTTGAGAAGCCTCTCATTCCTTCTGTGGCTGTTTTCCAGAATGTAGCCACTGCTGGGACAGTAATCTCCCTAACTTCCTGTGGAAATGGGAATTAGAAGGGTCTGATTGCTCTTATTTCCCCACTCGTGACCAGGTGACCAGTGCAGCTGCTGCTGCTGCTTTTTTTTTTTTTTTTTTTGAGACAGAGTTTCACTCTGTCGCCCAGGCTGGAGTGGAGTGACACGGTCTCGGCTCGCTGCAACCTCCACCTCCCGGGTTCAAGCGATTCTTATGCCTCAGCCTCCCGAGTAGCGGGGATTATAGGTGTGTGCCGCCACACCTGGCTAATTTTTATATTTTTTTAGTAGAGACGGGATTTCACCATGTTGGCCAGGCTGGTCTCAAACTCCTGACCTCAGGTGATCCACCGGCCTCGGCCTCCCAAAGTGCTGGGATTACAGACGTGAGCCACCATGCACAGCCCAGTACAGCTTCTTCATAAGGAGATGGATCAGGCAAGGTCCCTGCACAGGAGGAGGTCACAGGGCGCGGGAGAGAGAAATCAGTGACAGATCGCAATTGCTAGACCACCTGGTGGGCTGTGTGGGATGGACAGTCAATGGGCTGGGCCACTGTATGGAGGATGGCGGGGAGCATGACCAGGGCAGGGATCTGGGGGCTTCATGGAGGAGGCGGCATCAGTGCTGGATCCTGAGGGGAAGTAGCATCTGAGAGGAGGTGGTAGGATTTGTGCAAGGGTAGAAGGAGGAAAAAGCCGTTAGGTGGAGACCCGATGGGAGTAGAGGCTGTGGGAGGGGTGTATGGGCCAGCCCTGGGTGCCAGGGAGTGGAGATGTCCAGCCAGAGGGAGGGGAATCCTGAGGATGGGGCAGGATGGGGGTGGAAAGTAGCATCAGCTCATGTGTCCAACTCCACGTGCTGCTGCCAGTGGCCAGCGGATCTCTAGGTGTTTAGGCCTAGAAGACCCACCAGCTCCGAATCACTTACTGCCTAAACATTCCCCATCTCTACTAAAAATACAAACATTAGCCAGGCCTGGTGGCGGATGCCTGTAAGCCCAGCTACTTGGGAGGCTGAGGCAGGAGAATCGCCTGAACCCGGGAGGTGGAGGTTGCAGTGAGCTGAGATTGTCCCACTGCACTCCAGCCTGGGTGACAGGGTGAGATACTGTCTCAAAAAAAAAAAAAAAAAGCCAAAACATTCAAGGCTGGGATGCTTGACAGATACTGATTCATAAAAATGATGAAAAGCACAAAATCCAAAATCTCGTATAAGCTCAGTGGCTGTGGCAGCAAGATTGAAGAGCAAAGGCAGGCTGGGCACCTGGCTGATGGCGTGTGGACCCGTGGCACAGCAGGGCCCCTCAGTGCAGTGTGGGTGTGCCAGTCTCTGCCGTTCACCCTATTCCAGGGACGGTCTGCTTGGCTCTTCTGGGCTGAGCCATCCTCATCACAGATCCTCCCTGAATTTAGCCCATGACAGCCACCCCGGCCGTTTCCCTTACTCTGTGTGGGGAGGGAGGCAGCACGGTGGTTGTCAACCTCACTCTGCAGAGGAGGCACCTGAGGCCCAGAGAGGAGGAGGGGTGGGTCTAACCCAGAACCACAGACGGCTCTGAGCCGGGGGCCTGTCCACCCTCCCAGGCCGATGTCAGTGGCAGCAGGACTGCCCGGGCGCCGCTAGGCCTGCTCACCTCTGGGGCCTCTGGGGTGCGAGGTTCCGTCCTGGTAACACTTCAGTTCCAGGGGGCTGGGGGCAGCAGCCAGTTGGGGTTTTGGGGTACCCTGCTTCACAGGGCCCTTGGCGAGGAGGGCAGGTGGGGTCTAAGGACAAGCAGTCCTTACGTTGGGAGTCAACCCTGGTGTGGTGGCTGCTGCAGGCTTTACACCGGGCCGCAGAGGACCCAGCAAGGATGAAGAAATGGAGCAGCACAGACTCGGGGGCGGCTGTGGACCCACTCCAACAGGACGCCTGCCCAGACCCCCCGGATGGAGACCCTAACTCCAGGCCACCTCCAGCCAAGCCCCAGCTCTCCACGGCCAAGAGCCGCACCCGGCTGTTTGGGAAGGGCGACTCGGAGGCGGCTTTCCTGGTAGATTGTCCTCACGAGGAAGGTGAGCTGGCCTCCTGCCCGACCATCACAGTGAGCCCCGTTATCACCATCCAGAGGCCGGGAGACGGCCCCACCGGTGCCAGGTAAGTCCGCGTCTGGAGGCCCCCTCCCTGCTAGGAGCCCAGCTGGCCATGGAGATGCCACAGGGTGTCTGGCTTCTGGGCTAAATGTCACAAAGCCAGGAGGCTGGAGAGCCTTAGGGGCGGTCTGGTCCAGCGTCCTTCCTCACGGGACCTCGTGGGATGCACCGTCAGCGGGGCTGGTGTCTGTGCTGGGTCTGGGTGTCCACGCCTGCAGTGCCTGCCAGCCACAGACACGTGGGCTTGACGTCTAAAAGCTCAAGGACATGAGGCTTTCAGAGAGCACAGCACGGCTCCGGTGAGCTGCAAGGCAGGGCAGGGAGGGCCACAGGCCGGCTGACTTCTGGGGAGCGTGAGGCCATCTTTTCCCTTAGAGGGGCCGTCTACACCCCTCCTCCAGCTTCCTCCGTCCCCACCAGCCTCCTGCCTCCCGCGCTTCGGAGCAGGCAGAGAAGCCAGTGGTCTGGGAGTAGGAGGGTGACTTTCTAGATGGTGTCTGTAGACAGGGTGGGGACAGAATGGGGACCTGTGCTCCCCATTGCCCTTGTTATATTGGTTTTCTGGACAGTCAATTAGACCGAGGGGCAGCTTTTACATCACTTTTCCCCCTTTTGGTTTGCCTTGGGGTTTAGTCACATTCCCTTGACAAGCTCCGAAGGCCTCAGGGCCGAGGGGAGGCCAGGATGTGAGACGAGGGTGTTTTCTGACCTGCAGGCTGCCGTCCCAGGACTCTGTGGCCGCCAGCACCGAGCGGACCCTCAGGCTCTATGACCGCAGGAGTATCTTTGAAGCCGTTGCTCAGAATAACTGCCAGGATCTGGAGAGCCTGCTGCTCTTCCTGCAGAAGAGCAAGAAGCACCTCACGGACAACGAGTTCAAAGGTGGCCCCAGCGCTGGGCTCCGGGGAGGGCCCCAGCCCTGGCCTGCCCTGACCCTCCCTTTGTGTTTCAGACCCTGAGACGGGGAAGACCTGTCTGCTGAAAGCCATGCTCAACCTCCATGACGGGCAGAACGACACCATTCCCCTGCTCCTGGAGATCGCGCGGCAGACGGGCAGCCTGAAGGAGTTTGTCAACGCCAGCTACACGGACAGCTACTACAAGGGTGAGGAGGGTGGCGGGGCCGGGCACGGCTCAGCCCGCAGCACTGGGAACCAGGAGAGCATGGTTGTCCCTGGGCCTTCTTGCTCCTCTGGGATCCTTACTCCCTGTCCCAGCCACTGCTTTGGTGGCTCCTAATCCTAGGGAGTCCCTGCCTCTCCCATCTGCTGGCCTGATTTCTCCTGGTCCTGGAGGTCCCTGCCCCTCCCATCTGCTGGCTTGATTTCTCCTGGTCCTGGGGGTCTCTGCCTCCCCCATCTGCTGGCCTGATTTCTCCTGGTCCTGGAGGTCCCTGCCCCTCCCATCTGCTGGCCTGATTTCTCCTGGTCCTGGAGGTCCTGACTCCCCCATCTGCTGGCTTGATTTCTCCTGGTCCTGGGGGTCTCTGCCTCCCCCATCTGCTGGCCTGATTTCTCCTGGTCCTGGGGGTCTCTGCCTCCCCCATCTGATGTCTCCTCTCTTGACCCTGGGATGTCCCTGCCTCCCACTGCTGACTGGATGGTCCCTGTCCCTGGCAGTCACAGCCTCTGGCCTTTCTCTCTACTACTATTCCTTGCCCCTGGGGCAATTTCGACTCCTCTGGCTTCCAACCTGTTATTTCCCGTTCCCAAGGGTCTCCTGTCTCAGGACCTTGCTGGAACCCCTTGGGGGACCCTGGCCTGGCCTCCTGCAGTGGGGGGTCCTCCAGGCACTTTCTGCCCAGTTCCTCCTGCAGCAGCTGCTGCCTGCCCAGAGCCCTTCCCCAGCACCTGTCCCGGCAGCCCCACGGGACTGTGGTCACAAAGCCAACAGTGCACGTCCTCTGCAGGCCAGACAGCGCTGCACATCGCCATTGAGAGGCGCAACATGGCCCTGGTGACCCTCCTGGTGGAGAACGGAGCAGACGTCCAGGCTGCGGCCAATGGGGACTTCTTTAAGAAAACCAAAGGGCGGCCTGGATTCTACTTCGGTAGGGAGACAATGTGGCTGACCCCGATCTCTTTGGCTTTTGCTAAGGGGATGTGTGGGCAGAGACAGAGGGAGTTGGAGGCTGGTGGTTCAGGGACCAGCTGGATCTCACTCCTGAGGCCCGCCTGGCCCTGTGTTCGTGCAGGTGAACTGCCCCTGTCCCTGGCCGCGTGCACCAACCAGCTGGGCATCGTGAAGTTCCTGCTGCAGAACTCCTGGCAGCCGGCCGACATCAGCGCCAGGGACTCGGTGGGCAACACGGTGCTGCACGCCCTGGTGGAGGTGGCCGACAACACGGCCGACAACACCAAGTTTGTGACGAGCATGTACAATGAGATTCTGATCCTGGGGGCCAAACTGCACCCCACGCTGAAGCTGGAGGAGCTCACCAACAAGAAGGGAATGACGCCGCTGGCCCTGGCCGCTGGGACCGGGAAGATCGGGGTAGGAGGGGACTTCGGCTCAAGCTGGTGCAGTGCGGGGACAGGGGCGTTGGGGAGGACTGCCTGACTCACTGCGGGAACCTGCGTCACTATCTGTGTGTGCGGGACCCTGATTCTGTCACACCAGCTTGCAGGGCTGTTAGAATAAGTCTGAGAAACTGGGAGCCGCAGGGCAGAACGCTGCATGGCCAGTGTGGCCATTTTGGATTTCTAGCTCTGAGTATCATCAAGACACAGGGTGGGGTGCTGGGCCATGAGGTGGGACCACCTAAGGTGCAACAGAAGAAAAGCTGTTGGGCCGGGCACGGTGACTCATGCTTGTAATCCCAGCACTTTGGAAGGCCAACATGGGTAGATCACCTGAGGTTAGGAGTTCGAGACCAGCCTGACCAACCTGGTGAAACCTCGTCTCTACTAAATACACAAAAATCAGCCAAGCATGGTGGCAGGTGCCTATAATCCCAGCTACTCAGGAGGCTGAGGCACGAGAATCGCTTGAACCTGGGAGG